TGGGGCTCATCTTCTGTTATGACAGGTTATGATCCTTGTCGTGACCATCTGCGATCTACTCGTACTTGTAGGTGTTCGGACCGAATGGTCGAATGGTGCATGCATTCGTTTCGGCAGTATGCCAAAACCACGCGCAATAAAGCGGACAGCATCAGATCGTATCAAGACAGTTCCGATCGGGCAGCACTAACTAAAATTACAACTGCAAAGGCACGGCCCTTCAGCAATTCGAAAGCTGTGCGCGCAAGGAGCATGTGGAGGTGCTCCTTGGAGGTTTAGACTAATGACCGCTCGCAGAAATATGAACATGTGAGAGCTGTCCAACACATGACGTCTTCGCGGCCAAAGTTCCTTGCACGAACACCATCGCCAACTTTCGCGGAAGCATGCTAATGCCTGGTGGTTGTATATGAAGGCTTCCACATGGAGCTTCAGACAACACCCATGTATGAAGTCTGCTAAAAGACCAAGAACAGTATTGTTGGGAGCAAAACTCTTTCCAATGACAGCACACTAAGGCTGGTGCTGTTGTCGCCGCCTTTCCTGCCAGCAGCAGCTCCTCCTGAATGCAGTGCAAGCCAGGTCCGTGTCCTTCTGACCAAGAAATTTGCAGTATTTTGCAGCTAGTCAGAACAAGCTCCAGCAAAAGGGAAATCAATAAACTCAGCGTGCCAGAGGCCTGGAACTCGCAAACTCAAAATTCCGATTCGCTTTAGTCAGAAGAGCTCCAGTTGCCACATGCGGTAGAAGCTGGTGAATAACCAAGACTGCATACAAAGCCCAGCATGAAACACAAAAAGCTATTGGATTCGAACACATCAAGCTTTTGCATCTTGTAGCGGGAACACTTGGCAAGATACGCAAAGAGGCCTTGTAGGCCGTGAGTTGGAAAGCCTTCTTTCGCCTTGGCATTGCAAATGCTGGCATACTCAGGCGGCCAACTGCGGACAAAGTGTTGAACTAATGGATTGAAGGGTCGCATAAGCTCAACTGCAGCTCAAGATCCAAATAATAGAAATAATAATGGTAATAGTAAAACTACAAATAATAGTAATACGCTTTCAGTGAGTTAAACGTCTGTAGCGATGGCTGGCGGCGCCATGCCATCTAGCGTTCCATCATGAGGCGGGAGGCGATTTCTTGGAAGCCGTCGTAAGCATGTCCTTCGAGTATCCTGACTGATGTTACTGTGATAACTATGCTGTTATACTGTTCTTTTTCCCATGACCTCACAGCACTGCGAGCTCCCGACCCTGCTGTCAGCAGCCTGGCATTTGATTCTCAAGGGACTGAAGGATGGCAAGCAGGTTGCCAAAATTAGAGGCTTGCCATAAAGGGCTATTTGCGGTCTATATGGGGATGCATGCGGTCTAGGGATAAGGGACTAGGGCGGGATATTACCCCAATATTGGGGAATCACATGGAAAACACTGGTTTATATAGGGGGCTTTTCGGGATTATGATGGCAGGTTGTCAACAGGTTTGTCCACTATCATAAAACCGCGGCTTATAGTAGTTGATGGAACCATAGGTTTGACAACCTCCTACATGTGAACCCCATACAACCCAGCCCCGTAGTAGAAAGCAACAGCAACATATTCACTCCTACATGCTAATGTAGGCCCATGGTTAATAAACCCCCTCCTTTTAAGGGCCTGAATATTAGGATCCCTATTATAATCCCTATTAAGGGGAGGGGGTTCTATTAATCAGGGGACTGCATTAGATACGATTCCTGCCTGTACGAGTAAATGAAGCCCTTCTCAAGATCTGCACGGTCCGCTTCGACATAGAGCCACAGCCTGGGAATTGGGAATCACAGCATGGTACCATCTTACTTGTGGATTAGTCGGGAATAAGTGAATAGAATCCCTACATAATCCCCATATAACATATTCCCTTATTCCGTACTATAATCCAAATATATACCCTACTAGAAATCATGAAGCAGCAGCTTCCATTTTCTCTTTCATTATCTCAAAAGATAATCCAAAAAAACTCTCTTTCCCTACTAACCTCAGTAAGCCATGGGGTCAGGGCAAGGCGGTGGCCGGAAACCTTTTTTCCCCCATGCTCCGCAGAAAGGTTCCTGTTTCAAAGGTTGGGGTCCAAGGGTTCTTCAGGTGACCAATCACCGTTGCTTTTGTGTTCGCATAGCAGGTCGCCATCCCTGTGGTGGTCGTCACTTTTGGACTTTCGCATGCAAAAGTGTCAAGAGTCACAGGGATGGGACGCGGTGGGGTCGCCATCCTGGTAACTGTCATCGCTTTTGGAGCCTCTTGGCCGTCGCGATCCGTGTTCGTGTCGTGTCTCGTGTCCTCGTTGCGTGTCACGTGTTCGTGTCGTGTCTTTGCGTCGTGTTGCGTCATGTCCTCAGCGCGTGTCATATCCTTATGTTGCATCCCAAAGTCTTCATGTTGTTCCTGTCGTGTTCGTGTCGGGTTTTCGTGTCGCGTCCTCGTGTTGCGTCGTATCTTTGTGTCACATCCTCGTGTCTTCAGGTTGTCGTTGTCTTTGTGTCGCGTCCTCGTCTTGTCCTCCTGTCGTGTCTTCGCGTCGAACCTTCCCTGCCAAAGTCCGTGACATGTGTCTCGTTCGGGTTCGTGGCTCCTATCAGGTTTTAAATGAAGTTAGCAAAGGCGTAGTGGGCACCCGGGCCTGGAGGTTCCTCCCGAGGGACCCCTCAACCTCACAATGGAAAATGTTCTAGTGGAATCATCACTTCTGCTAGGTCTTGTGAATTTCATGCTGTTCGTGGCAGGTAGATGTGGCATGATGCGCTGAGCACCGTACATCTATAATGTCATTGAAGAACCATTCCCTTTTACTTCAAAAGGGGCAGCGATCAGAAGCCTAATGTTTTCGCTGACGACGCTTGCAAACTCCTACTTCCAAATTAAATTGCTGCGAGGGCTCTTTTGTTCAAAGGACTTGCGCCGCTTGCGGCTCACGCTAACACCTAGATGGAAAATTCCCCTCACGTTCTAAGTATGAGCAAGCAAGACCTTCAGATCAGAGCTAATAATGCTTACAGCAAGGATTTTGAATTACTCGTGCATATGGGATCTCATGAACCGCGCTTCTGCTTTTGGCAGCGTCCTTTCCGTCACTCGCCTCCTTGCTTTGTTCTGAGAAGTCTTGATCTGCGCTTGCTGCAGTAGCGGGGGCAGTATTGATGAACGCGCCCTCGTTACACATTGATTCTGAAATGGAAAGCTGTCATTCCCACACCCTCGACTGCCCACAAGAATCCTGCTTGACATGACGTATGAAACATCACGAACTGCGGCCGCTGGGGCTAGCAACGAAACCCTAGAGCCCTCAAGCATGAGCTTGAACAGGGCTGCCGACGAGTTGGCAATGCCGCCAGCCATGTCCTTCCAAGATTCTTGCAGACAAGCAAATGGGCTAATGCAACTTCTCGGAAACTTTAAGCTGACAAGTCGAGATGCAGGCCTTTGAACTCCTATCACGAGCTGACTCTGCCCTTTGGCGCTGTGTCGTCAAAACATGTCAAAACCCCACGTCTATCAAATTGTGCCTTGGTTGGCGTCTTCTGCACACTGCTCCCACACATGCGATCCAGTCAAGCATGCACAACATTCGTGCCCCGGTCACCGCCTTGATCCGGTTCGTGAAGGTGAGCTGCAGGGGGCAGGCATGCAACAGATTGCTCATTGCTCTCCAACCTTCTGTCGTCCTTTGCCATGCATTCTGCCAGCTGGCTGCCCTTCACAAGCACCGTCTGGCCTCCTTGTAGGCCCTCATGTAGTTTCGAGGCTGGCCCAGCACGCCTCGCATGAGAAGAATCCTTAGCAAGCCAGCTGACCATCTGAGGTGGTGGGGGTCCTATCAACAGGGCTCTGCTGTTAAATCGCCGCAGTGTGCGTATAGGCATGCTCAAACTTGATGGGCTACTCGGGTCGAAACATAAAGAATCCTTGTCACATAAACGATCTCCGTCCTTGGTTGGCACTCATGTGTAGGATATCTAAAGCCCGCTTTGCACCTTTGAGAGGCTGCTTGTCCGTGATCTTGGGCGACATGTCTTCATTTCTTGATTTGTACAGCATGCCAGTAGTTGCGATAGCTGCGGTACCTGAGAAAGTCGTCGCTGCAAGCGGTTGTCAGTTTGCCTGCATTAGCTTTCCAAGCTAACGCCTTTGTACACGGGCAGGCAATATGTACACGGGCAAGCAACGTTGCCACGCTTTGGCAAGCTGTGACTGCTGGGCAAGTTGCCACCACACAGAGGTGCAAGACAGATAGATTACGTGTGGCCACCTGAGAACTGCATGCTGAAACAACAGGATGGGTATTTGCGCCTCTGCACAAGAGACTTCAAGAATTAGTCGGCTTCAGCGCGTTTCGCAGGACCCTCTTCAGAACAAGGATAGAACCCAGGAACTACGAAACAAAGGCAATGAAGCAAGTCATGTACGATCTACGTGCCCAAGCTCCGTGGGCATGCCGCATCTTGCATTTCTGACTCTGGTGTAGCATGTAGGCTTCCGAGAGAAAAAGTGGCATTTCGAAGTACTACATGGTTGTAGAGCGTCTGAAGTGCGGAAAGAAGGATCGATCTACAGACATGTGCAAACCCTCCGCTGCAAGTGTAGTTATAAAGCCAATCTATGTATCTGGGTGGACTCACAGCATGGGCCTCCAATGCCCTCCTACAACTTTCACGCCACGAGTTCCCAGGCCCCTCAGCTACTTAGATCAACTACGTGCATCGCCGCATCTTAGCCGAATATGCTACCGTTGCATCCACAGGCATTGTGGCCTACACAGGCCAAGCTCAGCCTTTCCAAATGCAGGGGCAAGCTGCTGCGCGCAGAGCAAGAGAGGGTTTCTCAAAACTCGGATCCCTAAAGGTACACGGGGAATATGCGGGGATTACAGGGTCCCTCCTGAACAAAAGTTATCGGTCATGTTTTGAGGAACTGCCAGGTAAGTATGTACTGAAGCAATGTCTTTGGCTCCAGCCTCATGCACTCTCAGCACTTCGACATGGACTGCGATGAGATTCGCCGCGTGATCAGGTCGCGTTCCAAATCCTCTCTGACTGACCCCCACACAAAAGAATGCAGCCATCTGGAACCTTGATCCCCCACATGGCTACTTTCGTGAGAAGCGAGGACAATAGTTAAAAGCAACGTAGGACGCATGGATATGGTGCTCCTAGGCTTTGAAGGGCCTTGCTCATCCTGTCCAGAAGTAGACAAACTATCTTCGAACGAATTTTGCGACGTGTAAATTGGCATTTGGCATCCGTCCCATCGTTCTTGCACTACGCGGCTTGCAACAGTGGAGTGGTCTTCAGTGTTAGAGGCAAGTCAAGGCTTGTAGCTGCTAACTGAGATGCTGGACATTCCCAATCTACTATCTCGGGTACTCTCTATGGCTTTTCATGGTCAGAGACATTTTTGCGGCTGCCCAAACCCCTGCTCAGATCATTCGTATAATCATAACCCTGCTTCTGACCAAGCAATGAAGTGGCCACAATGACAATCCTCATAGGTGACCTGCCGCCGAAGCTGCTTCCGGGTTCCAGTCCTTAGCAAGCAGCTCCAGAGTAGGTTCACACAGTTCTGTCCGTCGGCACTGTGCAAGCGGTGGGCATCATAACGACCTTCATATCCCTTAGGCCCAAAAAAATCACCTCGTAATCGCCGTAAGATGGACCAATTGTCAATGCATAGTCCCAAAGCTCAGATGATTGCCTGTTCGCTGGCTGGGGAGATAGTGTGATTTGAGCATTGGTGATTCTGCCCCTGAATTTGGCTACGAATCGCTTGGAATTTATATTTCCAAAGCTTCCTGTTGACAGAACGTGGCCTGAAGCTCTCCGAAATCTTCTGATCACCCTTGTGTGGCAACCTCTCGAAGCCAGGCTGCTGAATACGACTGAAGCCCATGGTGGCTTTGACCTTCTCTTGCCTTGCTGTGTTGGCAGCTCTGCATGAGACATCTCAAGAACACCAGACAACGGCGCTAGACACGGACGGGAAAAGATTCTGGGGGAAGTACCACAATGGTCTACAATCTTCCATGCTCTGAATCTCACGGCCTACGCAACTCCCACGACAGCCAAGACTCCGCTTCAAATCTTCAGTCCGCACTCCAGGCACGATAAAACACTCACCAAATAGCATGTGAGCATGAGATGGCAAGGTGCTCGAGACAACAATTCTCACAATTGGGGTCCCGATGAAACCTCTAAGATGAACGAATTCGATGCTGCCAAGCAGCAGTATCGGAGTAGCCCCCAAACTGCGCTCATAGTCCGCTGCCAAGCCGCCCAGTGCCGTTTCCTCGTGAAGCTGCGTCTCATGGCTTTGGCTTTCGGTATCTGCGGCTGTACCATTAGGATTCGTGGCCTGTCTCCTGCAAGGCTTTGCACCAACCACTGCAGTCCATGCCCCAGTAACCCTCCAAAACATGGCAAGATTATCAACAAAAGGAACGCGAAGTACTGCATGTTCGACAGCTTAATACAAATTATCCGACACATATCACGCCGATCACGGGCAATGGCGGGCTACAGCTGTGAGCAGCAGCAAGGTCAGAGCAAGCACATGAGCTGCACAGTGATGACTTCAGAACATGTGACATTTTCTCAACAAGGCCACGGCCACAAGTGGCCACTGAGTAGCCAGATCACCTTCTTTTTGTTGAGCGTGAGATTTGTGAGATCCAGCAGCCTGAACATGCGATGCCTGCTTCAATAGCCGAGGTGCGCGGTAGCGCCGATCCATGGCTGCTCCAGTCTCCTGCCAGGGGTTGGGTACCGTCCGCAACCAGTAACTGTGAAGATCCCCCAAAAATGCAGGGTTGACATGTCGCATGGGGGGTGAATTGAAACATGAGACATGCCACTTTTGGGGTGCAACTCTGGATGCTGCGGACCGAGGAAAGACGAAAGAGGAGATGCAAGGGAGATTAACAGAAACTGCACTTGAAACAATACGAATCTGAGAGCCCAGTGGGCGCACATCATCACGCTTGCTGTTCTGCAACTTTTCTATACTACAAGTGCTACTTCTACTACCACTGGAGACTGTTGCTGTCATATGGCAGCTCTCAATATCTTTTTCCAAGATTGCCCCCGAATTAGGGACGCGCCTCTTGCATCCCTGAATTGCCCATGCAACGCCTCTGCATTCTCATTCCTGTAGACACCCTATATAATCCATACAAGACCTGACACACTCCAAGACCTGATCCCGAGGGCCTAAACCCAAGGAGGGGAGGCCTTCATCACCCGCAGCACGCCATCCAGGCTCAGCCACGGCGACGGCGAAGCCGCAGAGGCGAGAACCAAGGCCACCGCGTTCACGGCCTGCGAACGATTGGGCTGCCTTTTCTTTCCGTTGAAATGAGACATGTAGGCTTCATCACACTGAAGTACTAGTGAAGATGAATCCTGGTGATAAGAAAAAAGAAACATGGCAATAGTAATCAATGCCCTTACAACCTTTTACCTTTATCCCTGGTTCCACAAGATAGATACTACTACGGTTTATCATGCGTAGCTACGGCAACCCAAAACAAGTTGTTGTTCCATCTACAGGACTGAGCGAAAATTGCACGATTCGTGCATCTTGCAGTGGAAGAAGTCGTTCTAGCGCTACTGCCTTCCCACCTTCGTCGCACCCATAGAGTTTCGCTCGATGCATGGCGCCTTCCAGGGAAACGATCTTAACTCAGCCTGCTGGACTTACCCCTCCTTCAGCAGTTGTCTAGCGTTCTTCTTGGCAAAAACTGAAGGCAAGCCCACATGTAAGTCTTCAGAAACTTGAGAAATTCAGGCAGCTGCCGCTGATAAACCTGAGATGACATCTTCGATTGTTTGGGACAACACACAGCCCTGAAAAGATTCCCATTGAAAGCATCCTCTGCAAGCAAGCCCCCAGCCCTTGACTGGCTCCGGCATCCCAAACACCCAAGCACCCCCTGAAGTGAAAGATGCAGAGATTGTTGAACTAGCGCACCTGCACGAGGCCCAGGACTGGGTCGCAGGTCATGCCCAGGCTGTGCCTAGCTGGAGAGTGGCCGAGAAGGAAACAGCATCCAACCAAATTGCCACCAGGCATATGGCCTTCTTCCTGTATGGCATGACAATTTTGAGGGGCCCACCCATTTTTTACTCTGACTGCAGCTGGGACAATGCGGCTGGGTGGCTCTAAGGCAACTGTTGCAGCCGTCTCAACCTTCGCAGGTGCTCACGCTTGAGATGAACCCTGCCCCATCGCTTGTTGCTGCATTTGGGATCCGTCCACTCTCCAAAGGCACAGTAGTGCTATGAGTCCCCCCCATAATCTCAGTTTCCATACCATTGTCCATTTTTCTTTTCCATGTAAATCCCAATTATTGGACTACCAGATTCCGCATATTTTGATTTCTGCATACCCCTGTCCCTGTATAATCCCTATATAATCTTCGTTTCAATTAACCCCGGTATAATCCCCATATCAATATCCCTACATATCCCGCTTCGCTGTGAACCCTGCGCCTGTTAGCTGTGCTCAAAACCCAGACGAGCCTGGGACCCTCGGAGCCTCAAATCCTGAAGCCTGTGTCCGAAGCTTGAAACTGTGTCCAGGGTTTAGGGTTTGGGGGTTCAGGGTTCAAGATAGGCACAGGAATATCAGAACTCAGATGTTTCTCTACATGGAAACCATTAAAAACAAAGATGGGGATCCTCATTAAATGGACTTCACAAAAGCGCTCAGAACCGCCAGAAAAACCATCTTTAGTCTGCATTACCTCCCGTAGTCCCCGTGCGATCCCCCAACCCCTACGCAACCTCATAACTCCCCGTTAGGGTTTCGGGTTTGGGGTTACCTTTAACCTTTGCCCATAAACTCTACGGTAGCGTGCATTCCTGTCCATTCCTGCGTTCCCTTTTTAAATTGGTTTAAACTGGCACCTGGTCTGGGCGCCCCCCCAGCAGCGCACATAATCCGGCGGCTGCCATGGCAGTGGCTGTGCCAACCTGGTAGTTTCCAAAAATGAGCGCAACGCTATGAAAACATACCTACCTACATACTTAATCACCTGCTTGTTTCCATACATACATACATACATACATACGTACGTACGTACGTACGTACGTACGTACGTACACATGCATTATGTGTAAAATTGATGTAATTTGCCCGTAGTATAAGGACACAAAGGAGGGACCCCTGATCATTGGAAGCCCTCCCCTGGGGTTAAAGGTTTTGTGCGAGTTGCCTACAGGGCACGGCTGACCTGCCAGCAGTGTTTGGTTTGGTAACAGGGCTTAGGGTTGGGGATCTGGGTTTGGGGCTTCGGACTACTTATTAGAGCAATAGCTATGCGCAGGAAAAAGTGATTCAGAATTCAGGTCGCGCAGGTGTGATTCCGCGAGGCCCGAAACTTTGAAAGGCGTGAACACGGTTGTTGGGCTTGTTTAGAACTATAGATGGCAAAAGTATTTGGAGTTTCTTCTTCGTGCACACGCTCGACAAACTGTAGCGCACGAGCTTCGAGTCTTACAGCTTTTTCTGATTCTAAGGTACCAAACTCACACGCATACAGCCTAGGAACACGCGGATTTAGGTGAGACAGCCACAAGATGTCAAGAGCAACTAAGGCCGATTTCCTTATGGGTTCACACTACAAGTAAATGCACGCTCTAAAACCTCGCAAGCCTATGTTACGTACATACATGCGCAAGAATTCGCGAGCAGCTCTCCAACTCAGCACAGGAGGATGTCAGCAGAGGTCAACAGCACATCTGCCGCATTTCCGGTGCTTCAACAATCTTTACAAGGAATGATGCTTCATTCTGCACACGAGTGTACAAGTATTGTACACATGCCTACATAGTAACCTATAAGAATCGCAAGAACCTGCAAGACTTCAGACATGTCATCATTCCCATAGCCCCGTAAATGCATCATTACTTTACCCGGGGGCCCCCATGGATACATCAGTTGGGGTGGGGGGTTACAGTTCTACAGCTGCTACAAGCTTCCGACAGCTCCACATCTGTATTGCTTCCACCAAGAAAATAGGCCGCGTTATAGTTAGTTACAACAATGCTGACAGGCGTGAGAGGAGGCAAGCCACCCACACCACCAGAATGCTGGCAACTGCGGGACCTTATGGCAGCCCCATACCGTTGGGCGGGCTGCACCATGTATTCCTGGGGTCACTCAGCCATATACTATAGTAGTTTCCATTTTGTTTTCCATTATCCCTATAGAACCCCCCATATACTATAGTAGCTTCCATTTTATTTTCCATTATCCCTATAGAACCCCACCCCCCCCCAATTACTAGAGTAGTTTCCATTGTATTTCCCATTATTCCAAGGCCTCCCGTTTTGAGAAAACCCTAAACCCTAAACCCTAATCCCTAATCCCGTTTTGGGAAGCCTTGCCATGTTCCCAAGCTCCTGAGCCCAAGGGGCCAGCCTCTGCCTGGCAGCCCCCAGCAGCACCAGAAATGCAGGCCCGCTCCTTTGAAGGAATAATGGAAGATAAAATGGAAACTACCATAATAGGGTGTATATTAGGGTTATCATGGGGTATATATTGGGGTTTATATGGGGATAATGGAAAACAAAATGGAAGCTACTATGGTATATTGGGGTTACGGGGCATATAAGGCTTACACAGGGATGTAGGGCTCCTAATGACCATGAAAAAGACAATTGGAACTACTACTTGGGGTTAGGAGCAATTCCAATGGAGAATCAGATGGAAAATGAGATGGAAGCTTCTGTGCTGTAGGGATATATGGGTTGAAGGTAAGACAGAGGGCCCAGGTACCCAATAAAAAAAATGGAAACTACTGTAGAGCGTAGGATTAAGGGGAATTGACGGATCAAATGAGCAAGAACATGAAAATCTACATAGAAACTGGGATTGGACAGGGGTTATAAAGTTGATACTAACAATCCTGCATGACCCTAAGTACGTTAGGAATTATGGTACTCTAGTACACTGAAGTCATGCAGGATTTTTAGTATCAACAATAAGCTTGTAGAGGCTTATCTTTTTGGCATATATAACATGGGATCAAACTTCTAGAATGGGATCTAGTTATGGGATGTTGCAGGGGTTGTATTGTACCAGAACCAACTACTGGGATTCTGGGGCCGCTTGAGAAAGACAGTCTGGGAATTCCCCAAAGTCAAGTTGTGAGGATGGTTCATCTTGTGCCTGTGCAGAACACTGTGTCCATCTCCTGTGTAAGAATGCCCTTAAATAAGTCTTCAAGAAGATGGGATCTGCATTGCAGAGTTAAAGAGGGGGGGAGGGGTTATCGGGGAGCTTGGGCCAGATTGTGGGGTTGCAGATATGTAGTTTTGGCTGGCACTTTCAAGTAATTAAGGGGCGAAGAGTTCAGGCCGATTCTTTCTTGACTATTGCAACCCCTGCTGGTAGCATTGAAGCCTGAACTAGACTCTAAGCTCCAGTGCAAGGCGCGCAGGTCTAACCTAAACATCCTAAACTGTAGACCTGGCACAAACACCGAACTTCCCTCCCAGCTGCCAGGCACCTTCGCCAGAATACCAATCGTGGCGGCAGTCAAAAGGTAGGTTGCCGGATCCTGGTGCATAGGACCACAACCTCGACGACGACTTCTACCCTCTCCCCCTACTTGTACCTCTACCAACACTATGGCCACTGTCGCCAGGACAACTGATGATCACGATCTAAAAACCTGGAAACTGAAAACTAGTGGCATGATCAATGCAGAACCTCAGGAAATGCCAGGACAAGACGAGGGGGACATCAGTTGTTGGGCTAGTAGCTAGAGTTGATGAGCACCCACAGCGAGACGCACTTAGACCAAGCTCCTTCAAAAGAATCCAAAGGTTGCCAAACAGATCCTGTAGCTCCCCCGTGCTGGAACTCACCGGGAGCCCGAAGGGAATGCTGGACAGCCCCACTTCTCTAAGGCCTCTCATATCTTCTTTTGCTTTGGTGTCCTTTCGCTCTTCCTCTGGTTGAGTTGGCCGCAGATGCCTGCGATGCCAAGGTCGGATGCAGATTGGATCTGACAAGGATTCATGAGTATCCCTTGGTTTGCGACATGTTCGGGGGGTAGAATCAATAAACCGCGACTTCCAGCTAGGCACAAGGAGAATGTTCTCACAGGCTTCAAATACATGTTCATGCTAGCTTGCCGTTGCTTTTGGCTCTGCAATCCAATGAAGCTGCAGGATTCAAGTTGGGTCTGGTTTGATTTGATGAGATGCCGGAAGTTTGAAGGGGGGGGGGTTGAAGGGGTGGGGGGGGGGTGAATTTGCTTTCAGGAACGGCCAAGCTGTCTTCGACCGCTTTCAAATTACGTGGCCATCAGGCTCGGGTCCAGCTCATAAAGTACTCGCTGACACCTGGTGACTGCAGCGACTTCATTGAGCCAAGGTTTGGGCCGTCAAGCAGGGCAAAAAGGAGGCTCGGCTCTTGTAGGAGGCCATCGAAGCTTTCTTCTTCATGTTGCAATGTGAGAAGTCAGGCCTCATATAGTAGGCCAGCACAGCAGGTACGACCCCAGCTGCACCATTAGTTGGAGCTGTCACCAAGCGACCCATGGTAGCATTCTCCTCCTGAGCTGGTGTCATTGTGTGGCAAGTGCAACAGCAAAACTTTGAGGGATGACGTGTAAAGCAGTCGGAGGAAAGCACTGACAGCGGCAGCCGGGGGACCATAACTGCCAAAGCATAGCAGTTGAGCCATCGGAGCTCATCCATGACTGCCATGCTCGTGGAGGTGCACCTAGGTATCTGGGCTACTTCGTCATGGCAAAGCAACACAGCAGCCCCCACGTGCTGCAAGGGAACGTGGACTGGCCACCAACCTGACGTCGGCGCTGCTCCTAGCGTGCTGCTGTGACAGTCTCTTGGTCTTTACGACCGCGCGGCCGCAGCCTTTCTTCTGTGACCCGCCTCCAGGGCAGCCTGATAGAGCGAAGGGGCCCTTCGCCGCAGCTGCAACGGGCCTGGAAGGGCCTGCGCAAAAACAGGCAGCACAGCTCCCTATTTTCGAACGCACCTTCGGCAAATGACTGCAAGTATGAAAATAACACCAACTGATTGCTGGCCGGCCTCATTAGCTTTCCGCTCGTCAAGCCTCGGATGAGAGAAGGCACAGTAACAAAAGTCATTATAGTTGCTTCTAAGACGTGCAAGGTTGCGCGCATAAGTAGAAGCGGAAGCTACTTGTGGGCAAGAGCTTTTGGCAATTCCGTGTTGCCTGCTAGCAGCAGTCACATTGGGATTGCAGCAGGATGGCCCCAGGTCTGAGACTTGTGCCCCAACTCTGTGATTAGCTACTAGATGAGCCATGCGGCTTTATGGGCTCTCAGGAATCTGCCTGGTGTCAGGTTGTATGAGTTGAAAGTCTCCCTGCCACCGGTCTTGGCCTCCGAAACCCTTCACCTGAAGCGAGCTGCCCCCTCTCGATGCACTGCTCCATGACCGCCCACAACTCCTGAAGACAGGACTGCTGAAACCAGGGGCACTCAAACAGCTGGACCACAACGTTAGATTGAAGAACACGGCTGTGTCTATTAGAGGACATGCCGTAGAGTTGAGAAAGCATGAGGTGCAGCAGTTTGGGGGTTCCATTTCAGGTTCCCGCACTCTTGGCTTCTAAGGTGCAGCTGGGCCTGCAGGCCCTCCGCCACCTGCCCTGGAGACAGCCGGGCCTGCGCAAGAAGGCAAAGTGGGGCGGGGCAGTGCTAAGACTCGCCCACGGATTCTATACTTTATGAGAACTAAAATGGGCGCGTGAACATCAGCAATGCTGAGCACACGATAGTCACACAGACAAACGAAAACAAGATGTCCTGTATGATGCTGTGGGGCCTCCTCGTTGGTGCGCACAACAGTAGCAATGTCCAGCTTTTGAGCCTTACTCAGGGTTGCTGCCAGAATCACGTGTCCGCGCTGAGCAGCCTTGAGAGAGACTGCAGCTTGAAGGGCAACCTAATCAGCCGTCTGAACTCCCACGCTCGAAACCCCTTGCAGCGGCCCCAATCGTACTGATGCCTGGTTAAACCCCTTATTGGGACCCTCCCTCTTACTTCAACATTGGTATAAAGCACCAGCCCTTGATTGATTCAATCCTTGCATGTTGCTGGCCAAAGTACCTCGCAGATCTCAAGCAAGTCTGCCATGCTCCGAAACCTTGAGAGCAGCAGCGGCTTCGGCGCTCTATTCTTCTAAGCTGGGACTCTCTGGTACCTTGCAATAAAAGTACGACTGGCATGGCATGCGGACAAGCTGCAGTTGCTCAAGCGTGCTTTGCTTTGTTTGAAATCATCACTGCTGGAAGGGTTGTGGAAGAAGTGTATGCTATGCTTGGGAAAGAAAACACAAACTCAATCTGCCCATCGCAGTCTTCAAACACAATCTAACAATCTGCGGTTGTCTCTGAACTGCTCGCAAGGCCGATAACATGAGGGCTCGCCACAGCCACTTGAGCCATGGCCCAAAATCCTTGCCGGCTGTGGAGCTCAAGGCCTGTCTGTCGGGGCCTACCTTGTTGCAAGCTTTCTCTCTGATACTGCTTAGTTACTGCTTCATGCAAAGACATATGCAACAACAAAACAAATATGCACTAGAAAGGGCCTTGAGCTGAACTCCACCTGCCTCCATCACTCCATTCATCTTGGCAATTCCCTTTGGTAATGGCATGCTCGGCATGAATTCAAAGACGACCAGAACCATGATTATGCTGCTGCTCGTAGGATTGTCATTCACTCCATCAGTCTCGTTTTTGATACTTGCGCGGCGTTATTCTTGAAATTGTGGCCACCGTAGGATCAAACGACTTGGGGGTCCCTTGGGGGGCAAGCAGGCCATAGGGGCACCCCTGGGTCCCCCGTAGGGGATGGATGGGATCACTGTAAAAAAAAAAAACTTCAGCTTCTCAAGCCCAGGCGCGGCAAAGGAATGTCTGGCACTGCCTCTGCACCACTCCCTGCCACAAATTCACTAGATCGGAATTCTCCGAATTTCGAAGAATTCCCGTGTAGGCCGAATGGGGTACCCTTTACATGTAGCAAGGTTGTGCGGATTCTCTTCATAGGCTTGGGCTTTGGGACTTTCTCAAACTGGGGTAACAATCCGGGTCCCTCTCAACGATTGCAGAAGGCCTTTCATGCAGACACCAGGCATTGTGGGGATGTCTCAGGCTTGCCTTACATTAGAATGGCTCTTGTAGGACATAATCAAGAGTCAATCATCCAATTTGGGTCCAAAGAAGCGCTTAGGTGGAAGCCATCTCGAGTCCAAAAGAGACGGTTAGCAAACACCTGCGTTGTTACCTCTTCAGCGCCACAAAGGGCATTTGCTGGACGGGGGCCGCCCCAAAGCCAAGAATGCAAATTGATTGAATCTAAAGTTCGTGTTTTCGCTACTTCATGACTTTCCTGCCAGGTCTCTGAAATGGGTGCCTCCACTCGTAAAGTATCAGCCCTATGTCAAGGGTCCTGTATGGGTCAGATGTGCAGAAAAAACGTGGAACAGGTCCTGACAATGCAGACTGACCTTTCCTTTCAAAGCTGGCTTTGGTTGACAAAGCACCACGTCGTCGATTGGAGGGTAAAACACCAAAGACCGAAGTTGACACCAACAGGCACACGCTTTAGCAAGGATGCAAAAGAAACGTGGGGCGCAAGACGTTCGGACTTCCATAAGCCCTCCAGTGCTCTGGGCGGCTACGGAAAGTTTCAAGGAGCCAAGATAAGCAGCAGCTCCGAAAATGAATCGGACCTCGACCTAGCTTTGCGAAACACGGCCCAATCTCCACTATTAAGCTTCCCACGAGTCTGCACATCACGGAGCTTCACCCAGATGAGACTTTCCAGAACTTCAAAACAGCTGCCGATGTCTCGGAAAACTCACACTTCCGGGACTAACCGAACTACACCCTCGGCTGTGCGAGGCCTCTATCGCCCTCTGCAGCCAACATCTCCTCCTCGCTTAGGATGAAGCCTCCGCCAGTGGAGTAGTACCGAACTTCCAGCAAGCCTCACGTCTGGCCGAGTGAGCAGAGCCCATGGCTGTTAGTGCAGGGAAGACGCATGCTGCAAGCTGTTTCACGACAGCTTCAGCTTGCTGAGCATTGATGGGCAGTCTCGAGTGGGGATTGAGTAAACTTCAGATCATCTTGCCACCCTCACACTGCTTTGTGGCTTGGCATGGAGAACGGACACGACATTGATAGGTGCAGCCAAGTGGCAAGAGAAATCGTTAGACAACGCCCGGCAAATCATGGCGTTTGGATGAAGTGGCAGTTCTTCTGCCACCAGGAGGACATCCTCCTGCAAAGCGGCGATCGCATGTTCCCGGCACCGGTGTACTCCCTATTTAGTTCTTGAAAGGTGCGTTTCTTGCCAACCTCAAAAGTATGTGGCATCTGCTTGTTTTGGGGAAGTCAAAGTTGGATGGGTAGGTGGGGTTGTCGGGGGGTATGTGACAACGTCCGTTTTGACGCGCAATGAAAGCACACACCTGCTGTCTCCGCGTGCAACTTTGTCTAGTCCAGGTGATTCTGTTTCGATTTAGCCTTGTAGATTCTTTGGCGACGCATGTTCGCTTGCATTTGCAATTCTGTGTGCCTCCATCTTGGAGTCGGAACGCATGACATGCCTCATGTTCGCAAATGTGGGTGCAAAAGGATGCTTCGCGCACGATCTTCCAGCCCCTACTTCACATCTACAATGGCCTGTATTTTTGCAAAGCACGAACGTAAGGTCAGGATCAGGCCTGCCGCTACTTCAAGGACATTAAGGTTTCTAATATGAACTTGGAATAACCTTCGCCCACTTTGCTTTGCAAGGCTGCAGGACCGCACAAGTATATCCACAAAGCGAGAAGACAACAGCAACAGCAACACTCCTTATAATACTACTAGTATGTGACATTGGACATGATTGCGACCGTACGTACCAGATTACCAGCTCACCAGCGGATGTGCATCGTGGACCCTAGAACTGCCTCCTCGACAAAGCTGACTTGCTGGAACTCTCCGCGAAAGCCCACCATCAGCTTCCCTCAGCTTTGGCGTGGAAGCATCCCAGCCGTGCAAGAGATGACTTGAGAACCCCAAATGGTGAAGGAACACTACCGTGAGAAAAATTTCCGGACATAATGAGGCAGCTGAATCTACCCGTAGCTAAGTATAGCTAACCCATTGAAATTGAGAGATTCACTGCCACACTAACTGGAGGCCCAGAATAACCTTTGATTAGTGATAACGCTACGCGTGGGATGAACTGCCCTGGGCTCCAGCCTGAACATCCCTGAGCCCTAAACACTCGACCCAGACCTGACTTCTGAGCTCTTCTGAGTCATTGTTCACGAGCTTGATCTGCCTTGAAAATCTGCAACTATAGAGAAACTCGTGAGACTATGTCCTTGCAGATAGATGGACTGTACAGAGACTAAATAACACATAAACGCAAGGATCCGCACAACAGGAGTTTACGCAATTGCCCTGAGACGGGCTAATGTAGGATCTATTTTTGTGCCTTGGAACATCTTCGAACCGCAACCCGTGCTTCAACAATCGGTCAACATACCTGGCTATCTTCCTACAATCCTCACCAAATTTCATATTGCCTTTAGGAAAATAGCTCAAGACAAACAGCGGACGACTTCTCCACAATATACACACCATCATACACATGGAAACCCTTTTCAAATATGGGCACCTGGTATTGCCTGCACATGTGTCCTATCATCGAAACCATCTTTGCCAAGCAAGTCCCGTAAACATGCTTACTTGCCTGACAACCATTGAAATCTAACCTCGGTGTAGCATGGACCTGTAATTCTCACGTAACGATTTGTGTCGCGGACCCTGTATACCCAACTCAGATATTGATTAAAGTTTACCAGACTTGTAGAAGATATTGCGGTAAAACATGTGGTCGCTGTGCGAATTGTCTTCGTCGGTTTTTAAAGTTATGAAACGGCTAGAAACTTGCAGATGTGACCTAAGAGCAACCAGCCTCCACTTTGTGCGTCGCAAAGACCGACCCCGCGCACTAGTTTCATTCTCGGATCCGCAATCATCAGGATTACGGCTTCATAGCAAACATGCTGCAAATGTCCATTTGCACATGGGCCCATAAATTCTTGTAATGCTCAAATACCGTTTCCAAGCCCAAACTCAACTTTCAATCTGGTAAGAATGTTTATTTGTTTGTTGTCTGGTCTTTTTTGTTGTTTGGGCTTTTCGGGTGTTATTTTTTTTGCTGTTTGGGCGGGGGCCTTTTTTTTTTTTGCTGTTT